CCTGCATCCTGATGCCAGAAATCCTAGAGGACAGATCACAAAAGGGAATAGTTCAGCTATTGATGGCCAGAAGTACTGTACTGAATCCAAGAAGCCATGAATGGGGGTAAAATAGTTATAAGGGACGAGAAAAGCCACAGTGGAATTCAGTTCTTTACAGTGGACATTTTTGTTGTCCTGTGTGGATATGATTTTGTTGTAGTCCCAAGTGGGGAATGTGGGACTGCTTTGTCCATAGCTGATAACAACCTAGTGAGAGGCACGTGATCTTTGTCAGCTGATAAACTGTTAACCGCTTGACAAGGATCTTGGGCTCTCTCATGAGGGGGGAGTGATTTTAGCCAGCTGAAAAAAAGCATCCTTATACGGACTTTAAGAAGGTATACATAGGAGCCCACAGACAGAGATGGCTTTGCATCACAGCATTTTGCATCACTTTGCTTCTTTTTGCTTCACTCCTAGACAGAAAAGCTCCAGAGAAGTCTTCTGCTGAACCCTGTTGTTGCTGTTGCTGGACCTTGTTGCTGCTTTGCCATTGCTGGATTGCTGTACTGTTGGACTGTTGGCTTGCTGTTTGACTAGATTGCTGGTATCCTGACACCAAAGAGTGTAATTGCCTCAAGGAACTACTTCTAGAAAGGTCCACATCCCCAACCCTTATTAACCTTCTTGCTCTCCTACTTGGGGTTCGGGTGTTGGAAGAGATTGAGGTGGAGAAGGAAGAAAGAGATATAAGGGACCCCAAATAAAGTGGGTTTTAAAAAAGTCACAGCCTACAGGTCTTTGTCTGATGAACAATAACACGCTGAAAACTCCACAAGCCAATAAGAAGTCCCTCAGTGGTTGAATATTTGGAGCTCTGAGACTAAACTTTACAGGAATCAACTCATTCTCTCTTTTCTGCTTTCTAAAGTAAGGTGACAGCCCAGACCAGTGGAGAATCAACAAATAATGTTTTAATTTAGGTTCAGATGTTCCTGCTATTATATCATTAATAACATGACCTGAAACAAGACAACTTATTGTCCCAAACATTACATAGTGTATCAAGTCATATCAAAATTTATTAACTATCTGTAGTTTAACTGGATATGTTCTGTTTTACCTTGTTTAAAAGATAATAAAAAAGATAATCAAATTAAATCTACTATGTTTTAATATTGAGTACACGGATCTTTCAGAGATGAAGAGAACTTTTATTACATTGAGCACAAATTTATAAATGCTTTATTTAAAAAAAACATGAATTAAGGTGAGTATATTTTTTGCAATCCACTAGGTAATTTTACCATGTATACTTAAAACTAAGATCTATCTTTAATTTTCTTTATTTTAGAATACTTAAATGAGATCTATTCTCAAGTTTAAAGTGTTCAACAAATGACAGCTAATGTAGGTCTAGGTTTGTAGAGCCAATCTCTAGGGTTGGCTCATCACTCAAATAGAGCTTTATTTTTGCTGACTGGAGACTCTTCTTATCTGGCAATCAGTAATTTCTGCATTTTTAAACATCGGCACTAAAATCCTGCATATTGTAAACTGGAAAAAATAATTTCTGTAGACTTTAGATAGACAGTATTCTTGGATAGCTGATAATATATTGTAAACATCAAATCTACTCTAAGTCGTGTACCTCTCAGCAATCACATTCTTTTTTTAAGAACTAAGAAGGCAACATCTAAATCAGAGGGATTATATATAACTTTACGTTGGGAATCAATCCCTCTTCTACCCTTGCTAGGTGGTTCCCCCAGCCACAGAAAAGGACAATGAGCAATTATTTGGGATGTCTTCTGATTCTTTTTCCTACGGGGATGGAAAGATGCCTTCCATATTCAGGATTTGTTCCCTTTAGATGCTATCACAAATTGCTATAAATTTACTTTTGGTTAGCCCATTTTGAGTGATGAAACTTTTCTGGGGTGATAAAACTCACCTGTCTACTCACCCCAGCTAAGAGTACTGCAGCAGACCAAAGTATGGATACTGCTGAAGCCTAGCTGGGTGAACCATGACTTTTATTGGGGTTACTTACAGAAATCTAGATGAGGGTTACTTACCATAGCAGATATTAGAGAGTCGCATAACCAAAGCCCACCCCAGCATGAAGTCATTTTCTTGAAGCTGTTTTGGGCCTGGGGGGTTGTTTATTTCTTGCATAAGGAGCTCTCCTGACTGATGGGATGTTTTGAACTTGGAGGAGACTGCTCTACAACAGCTAAAAACCATATTTCCAAATCACATTCACTGGATAGAAACCAACCTGAAATCAAGGCCTTGTTCTCTCCAGAAGATGCTTCTGGTGTCATCTATAACATATCTAATAAGCAGAGTGCTTAGAGCAGAGCTGGCTGCTGGCTGGTCTCTTTAAGTGAATAAGCATGAGCTGCTGTTTGTTTCAAGGGAGGAACTATAGTGATAAGATTATCTGAGGGTGAATGGCTGAAGGCAGGATATATGTAAATAATTTTTTTTTATAGAAGAGTTAAGACCATGGGTGCAACAGAGATCTGACCTTTAAAAGATCATTGCTTTGTTTCTTTCTTTTTTTTTTAACTTCTATTTTTCTTTCTTTATTAACTGTGCTTTCCTCAAAATTATGGTTTTCCCCTATATTTGGGACTCCCTTCATCTTTCTGTGAAACCTCCCTCTAGGCCAGGGGCTGCTTGTTTACCAGGTGTTTAACCTCCGTGTCTACTTAATGGTATAAAATATCCCCATCTCCTTTTTTTTTTTTAATTTTTTTTTATTTTATTTTTCTTTTTAGTTACATTTTGTTAACTCTGTGTCCCAGCTGTATCCCGCTCCCTCATTCCCTCCCCAACTCCACACTCCCTCCCTGGTCTCCTCCCTGCCCCTTTCCAAGTCCCCTGATAGGGGAGGACCTCCTCCCCTTTCATCTGACCCTGTTTTATCAGGTATCTTCAGGGCTGGCTGCAAAGTCCTCCTCTGTGGCCTAACAGACTGCTCCTCCCCTGGGGGGGGGGGTGTCAAACAGCCTGCCCTTGAGATCCTGTTAGAAATAGTCCTTGTTCCCCTTACTTTGGAAAACTACTTGGTTACTGAGCTACCACAGGCCACATCCGAGCAGAAGTTCTAGGTTATATCCATAGATGGTCCTTGGTTGAGTGTCAGTCTCAGAAAAGACCCTGTGCCCAGATATATTTGGTCCTTATAGAGCTCCTATCCTTTCCATATCATACTAACTTCCCTTCTTTCATATGATTCCCTGCACTCTGCCGAGGGTTTGGTTATGAGTCTTAGTGTCTGCTTTGAAACACTGCTAGGTAGAGTCTTTCAGATGCCTTTTGTGGTAGACTCCTGTCATAAGTTCAATGCACATCCCATTTGTCTTTCTAAATGAGGATTAATCACCTTCGCCTGTGTCCACTTTCTTGATTATCTTCTTTAGGTGTGTAGATTTCATTATGTTTATCATGTCTTGTAGGTCTATATAATCGAGTATATACCAAGTTTGTCTTTCTCCTTCTGGGATACTTCACTCAGAATGATCTTTTCTAGATCCCACCACTTGCCTGCAAATTTCATGATTTCCTCCTTTTTGATTGCTGAGTAGTATTCCATTGTGTAAAAATACCACAATTTCTGTATCCATTCCTCCGTTGATGGACATCTGGTTGTTTCCAAGTTCTGGCTATTACAAATAAAGCTGCTACGAACATGGTTGAACAAATGTCCTTGTGTACTTGATCAAATTTTGGGTATATACCTAGGAGTGGTATAGCTGGGTCTTGAGGTAGCACTACTCCTAGTTGTCTGAGAAAGCGCCAGATTGACTTCCAGAGTGGTTGAACCAGTTTACATTCCCACCAGCAATGGAGGAGGGTTCCCTTTTCTCCACAACCTCTCCAGCGTGTGCTATCACTTGAGTTTTTCATCTTGGCCATTCTGATGGGTGTAAGGTGAAATCTCAGGGTCGTTTTAAAACTCTTAAGTTAAAAGATTTTTAGTAAGACCAAATAAGAAAAGGTAAAGGGAACAATGGGATTGTTTTAAAGAAAAATGTATCTGGGTAACTTTCTGTGATGGTGGTACTTAAAGCAGTTTGTGGTCTGTTGGGCATCCAAGTACTGTATTAAGAAAGGCCAGAGGACCTGAGCTTGAATATGTGTGAGAGACTTGGAGTCCAGGCTATAAAGAAGCTTGAAAGTGCCACATTTAGTGATCACCAAGTTATTAACCCCGCTGAACCTCATCATACTATGAAAAATCACTCAACCAAATGTAAAAATGTTCCTGGGTTTCCACAGGACCTAGGATTTGGGTTACAGCCAAGCATACAACTGAACTCCTTGTTTCATTCGTGATATAAAATGACTAAAGCTTGTCCCCATAATTGAAGGGCACTTATTGAGCATTTGTGAATATAGACTATGTCTTGAGGATTGTACCAGAGGCTGCTGACAGAGTTATAATAAGGAGAGATCAATTTTTTTTTTCCTAGAGTCTTCGTGGCTCGACAGAGGAAATAGCCCTTGGAAAGGAACTTCAAACTTTGCTGGAAGAATAAAGAGTAAGTAATAAAATATTCCTATTTTGAAAAAAAAAATCCACTAAAAAAATAAAATTAAATAAATAAAGAAATAGTAGATGATAGGAGGCTTGATTTAGTTATAATGATGCCAGGACTTTAGGGAGGTTTTTGCAAATGGAAACAGCTGGTCTGACAAGCCTACCACCCAAGGCCAGTGACTGCTCAGCAACTGACCCTTGGGAATAACCGCATCTCTATAATATTAAAAGTAATGCATGGCTCGTCAAAATAAAAAAATAAAAAAATAAAAAACACTTTTACACATGATGGACAGTATTCGTAAACCAGCGCAGTGACACCCATCAATGTGAGGACCGAGGTGGGTTCGTGGAAGGACCAGACACCTTCCAGGCTGAGTCCAGAGGTTCCCAGGCGGGCGGGGACCAGTGGGGGAAGTTGGAGCCAGAGCGAGCGCAGAAGCACGTGGGCTGAAGGGGTGGGAGGACGCCGGGCGGGCGGCGGAGTAACCGGTGAAGTGTCAAAGAGGCAGGAGTGGAGGGCTGCGGGGGTGACAGGGTGTGGTCTGCCTGGAGCGGGCGACGCGAGAGAGCGGGGCAGAGGCCCGGGGCTGCGGATGGTGCCGGGTGCGGTGAACAGCGCGCAGCCGAGCAGCGGCGAGGGTGTCCCGGGCTCGCCAAGTGCCCAGCTCCAAGCTGCGCCAGCGCCCTAGCGGACTGCGGGGCCCGGACACCTGCGAGTGAGGAGCAAGTGGCGCTCAGCCTCCCCGGCAAGTAAGTGTCTCTTGTCTCCGCCGCCCGCGCCTTTCGCTGCCCACTCGAGCTCCCGGGAAGCGCGCAGGACTCGGCGGCGTCCAGGGATGTCCCCGCGGAGGGTGGAGACCGAGGATCCGGGATAGGGACCCAGGGGCCGGGATGGGAACCAGAAAGAGAGGATGAGAAGCAGGGAGCGGGGATAGGGAGTGGAGAACCGGGGTTAGGACCGGGGAGCCTGAGTGGACAGCGGGGAGAGAGGACGGGAACCCGCCTGAGGCCCCGCCACTCACCCCGGCGACGGCACAGTGGCAGGCTCTGATGTTGCCCATCTTTTGTGTCTTCCCGGATCCCACAGCCCTGCCAGGCCGGGGGCGGGCCAGAGGAAGCCACTTTAAGGCTCCCGGCTCCACCTCTCTCCACCCCCCAGCCCCGGGGATTTCGGCGCGGGCCACCCGGCGCCGGTGCGTGCCAGAGCCCGTGGGGCTGCTGGTGGGTGGTGGCTGGACCACCCCGCATCCCCGCTGGCTGGGCTTGCGTTCTTTTTAGGTAAAGCGGCTCTAACTGGTGGGTGTTGGGAGGCAGGGCTGACTGATGCAAGGAAACCACCTGCTTCCAGGCTTATCTTGGGGTCTGGAGGAGCAGGGTGGGGAACCGGAACCGAGGCCCGAGCGTCCCGAGTCCCTGTTTGCGCGCAAGCTAGCAGGTGCTCACTGGGTGGGTCCCTCCTTTGGCTCATTGTTCGCGGTGACTGTTGTTGGGGCCGCGTTGGGCGACACAGACACAGCTCCCTGGGTTAATAAAAGTGGTGACTTGGAGGAGTGGGTGTAGGGGCAGACTTACGCGTTTTGGAAAGGGACTTCTTGGTACAGAGAGCGAGAGTAGTCAACAACGGAAACCGTCCCTGAGTGCAAAACTTAGATCTGACAGATCCAGACAGACAGCCAAGGGAAGCAAGCTTCCGAAGCAGGAGGTGATACCTACCTACCTCCTGCAATGAAATTGTTTTGCAGAATAACGAAGGTGCAGTTTTAAGCGTATTTAGGCGACTGGCTGTTTCCTCTTGCTAGCACCTGTTTTCCTCAAAGGTTCTTGGGCGGTGTTTATATTTCCCCCTGGCCTTCTCCCTCTTTGTGCAGTGGTTCTTTTCGTACCTTCAGGTAGTAAAGATTACATGGTTCTGGGAGAGGAGTCGCTTTTAATGAACAAAGTGTAATTTCCTCCGTACATATGTGACCAAGCAAAGGATTAGAGTCCATGCCCCCCACCCCCGTCAGTGTGTTAACATTTATGGATGGAAGTGGATTCAGAGGCAGAGAAAGCCTTCCTCCTCTCCTCCTTGGGGAGTCCCAGGTCATCCGGAGCGAACCCTTTTCTTACACATTCTTACTTGGCTTTCCCCGATTATTGAAATGACAATGATATCACCTGTTCATGGTGTCAGTGCCTTAGTACCCAAGCTAAGGGGGCATCTGTTCTCCCTCTTTTTACAATGTGCACAACTCTTAGCAAAATGTGTTTAAATATTATCTCGTGTAGGTACTGTTTGCATACGTGCTTATGCATTATGCTTCTGTAATTGGTCGTGAATATCAGTAGTTACTAAGAAACACCACTGTCCTTCTCCCTGGATTTGATGTTCTTGTTGCCCACGTCCTGCTAAGTGCATTGTCTCCTGAAACCTGGCGTTCATCCCCCCTCCCCTCAGAGAAATGCCTCCTGTGAACGTCTCTCTGGCCATAGCTTTTACTACACTCATGAAGGGAGAAGGAGAGGAGGAGAATACGCAATACTCTATGTGGCTGTCTGTGGAGCTGAGGTGCCTGCCCAGGTTTCTACTGCTGTTTATCAGCTACCTAATTCACACTTCCAGTCTGAGAATCAGTCAATCAGTGTTCATGCAGTGAGCGTCACCCACACTGCTTCATCTACTCCTTCTCCCTCCCCTATCACTTTTAGTGTTTACATCCGTCATGCTTTTCATAACAGCATTGCTTTTGTCGCGCTTTTCCACATTAAGAAGAACTTTTCCTATAGCCTATTCTTATGATCACATTTCGACACTGTATGGCTTACTGGAGGCACTGAATTACCTGTTCGTTTTTCCTTTTGTTTGTTTTCACACTGTGTCCAAGTTAGCATAGGAGCAAATGAGCAATGAATCAGCCAAGTTCTAATGAAGATTAAGACAGGAAAGTTATCCACAGCTATGTTTAAGCTGAGCATTCATTTAACTACCTTCCCACATGACCAATTTCGGTTAGTAGCTTGTTCATCTTCCAAAGTCTCCACACTCTAAATTCTTACCCAGATTGATGACTACACTAAATCTTGATTGTAAAAGAACAGAACTTCATTATTTGGGTCTCATTTATCAGTCAGCAATGTTGAGCATTGCCAAAATAATTATTTCATTAAAATATGCCTGACTTTAAAGTGTGTTGGGAAAGGTCCTTTTAAGATGTGTTTCCTCAAGAAGGAAAAACAAAGTCCTTGGAAAGCCATAATTTCACTGCTTTGAGGCCCTGTAGCCATTTGTATTTATTGAGTTTTCTCTTCCACAGGAAGAAAGGGCCATTGTTTTGTTGTCTAGGAGCTGAAGGAAGATAGAAAGTAAGAAAAGAAAAAAAAAAGCAGTTAAAAATGTTATTTACTCTTTCAGGGGAGAAAATGTTATTTGAGTAAATGCTGATTATTTTCTCATAGGTATATTAAATCTATATTAAGGGCCATTAACAAGTTTTCATTACAGAAATGTTATTACTAAAATTTCATTAGACATGTCTATAAATAAAACCTGTTTTTAAGGCCAAACTGGGGGCATTTTCATCATTCTATAAATTATGAAATGTTACTGAATCATCATTATCAAAACATTGAAATTTCATCAACTGTATATTGGAGCGCAGTCTTTCTCCAAGTGCTTTCATTGTGATAGCCTATCCGTTGAGATTAAAAAGAACATCATTGATGTCATGGTGTGCTTTGCATTTTTAAATAGCAGCTAGTGAATTACAAACATTCATTACTCTTCAACCACTTGCTGTAATTTCTCAGGACCCCTAAATAGAGAATTATTTGTAGTGTATAATGTCATTCAAATTTTAACTGCATCTATGCTGGTACCCTTTTCTTGAAAATAAACAGCCTTTTGAAGCAATACCTGTTAAGGCCGAGTCTTTTATATTTTCCTTCTGTTAAATATGTTCCACATTGCCTGGTGAAGGGACATAGTGTTGAAAACTTGGTGGTTCGGGAGGCTGGTGAGAGAACTCTGAGGAGAGAAGAGTAACTTCCATGAAAACTTGAGTCTGAACTTAGCAGGAGGAAGAGAGAGTAGCCTTCCCAGTGGTGAGCACAGGGGATGTCTTCTGTGCCCATCATGTCCAAGCCAGAGTGGTGTGTTTGGCTTCTCCAGACTCCAGTTTCCTAAGCAGAGCCTACTGGCTGCATTGAAAGCTGGCTTTGGCTTTCCCTAGGTACCAAAGGTTCATTGTTTCCTCATACTGTCTGGGGAGGAGTGCTGTTCCATTTAAAGAAAAAAAAAATATGTCTATATGTATTTCCAGAAGATTTTAGCAAAAACTTTGGTTTTCTTCCCTGTCTGCTCAATGAATGTTCATTAAACAAGAGGTGTTGTGGTTTAATTTGCTTGAGTTAGGTAAAACTGGAAATGTTGGTCAAATGACTAAACTAAGTTCATCAAAATGGTGCTTTTAGTTTCCTTTGACGTAAATTTATTTAAAGAAAATGTTAACTGTTGAATTTTGAAATAAAAAATGGCTTACATTTATTTTAAGAGCAAGATCCATTTAATTAATGAGAAGGAAATCATTTTTGAGCTAAAGCTAAGGTCATCAATTAAATAATTTAGGTAATGTACTATGTAGCCTTTGGGGGTTAATGTTTTCAGGGAAGTAACGTAGATTTCTGAAGTGGCTCAGAGACAAACAGCTACTCTTTTTCGCCTTATCCTCATCTTATTCTACTTATCTACTCATTTTCTCTGTCAGGATATATAATTTTGTTTTTGGTTGTAGAATGAGAGGACCCATCAACATAGAGAGAATGAAGTTCTTAGAAACAGAATCTAAATATGTCTAAAGGGTGGATTCACGGTGACAGTATAGTAGGTAAAACCAAGTAGGGAACTCTGATCCCGGGGTACTCTGACGTCATGGTAGGGATATCTCGGCTGGATGAAGATGTGACATGTGAGGAGCAGGTAACCACTGAGTCAACTCATGTGCACATCTGTGGCATTCATCCTTAATGGTATTCAGCGCACGCTTTCCAGCTGATCGCTCTCACAGCAAGGCTTGAGCAGCACAGCAAAGCAACCACATTTTCCATTGTAAGGAATTTCCATGGAGTACCTAAAACACAAGCACTCTGTACCTGTAAGGCACAACAGGAGTGTTGGGGAGCAACTGTAATGTCACGGGACAACAAACTCAGACTTTTTTTTTAACGAAAATTTTATTTTGTGTGTATGAGTATTTCACCTGCTTGAATGTTTGTGCACTCTATGTAGGTAGTGCCTGAGGGAGCCAGATCCCAGGACTGGAGTTAAAGACAGTTGTGAGCCTTCATGTGGGTACTGGGAATTGAGCCTAATCCTTTCTCTGCAGGAGAAACCAACACTCAACCCCTGAGCCATCCCTCTGGCTCCTGAGACTGCTCTGCTCTTCTCTTCCTGTTTTCTCTTCTCTCCTCCCCCTTATCTTCCTTCCCTTCTCTTGTCCCTGCTTCCTTCCTTCACTCCTTGGCTTGTTCACTTGCTGTCTTGCATGGCACTGATTGGTAGGTGTGGCCATTCCAATAGCATGCTTAGCCCACCAGACTGGCAGCTTTTGAAATTTCTGTCCATATAAATACAGTATTTGTTCTAAGTACTGCCCTTAAGCACAGTAGTTAAGTTTAAGTGCCCACTGGTTGTTTCCCTTTGTATGAGAATCAACAATCATTTTCAGCTTTCAGAGGAGACCACCCACAAAAGTGTTCTTTTTAACTATAGAAAA